AGAGAGAGGAGAGAGAGAGAGAGAGAGAGAGAGAGAGAGAGAGAGAGAGAGAGAGAGAGAGAGAGAGAGAAGGAGAGAGAGATGAGAGAGAGAGAGAGAGAGAGAAAGCGAGAAGGAGAGAGAGATAGAAGAGAGAGAGAGAGAAAGCGAGAGAGAGAAGAGAAAGAGAAAGCGAGAGAGAGAGAGAGAGAGAGAGAGAGAGGGGGGGGAGAGAGACAGCGGAGAGAGAGACAGCGAAAGAGAGAGAGAGAGAAGAGACAGAGAGAGAGAGAGACAGCGAAAACGAGAGAGACAGCGAAAGAGAGAGAGAGAGAGAGAGAGAGAAGAGAAAGAGAGAGAGAGAGAGAGCAGAGAGAGAGAGAGAGAGAAAGAGAGAGAGAAAGAGACAGACAGACAGAGAAAGAAGAGAGAAAGACAGACAGAGAGGGCGCTCAAGAGTAGGGAAGCCACTACTTCATTTTCTTCCCCAAACGACCAGGTTAACGCAAGGTCACGCCGAGGGAGAAGTCTGTTGACCTTCCTTCGCTCTCTGGACTCGGGCATTTTTCATCTCACTTGTTTATCCTTTATCGTGACTCCATCTCCTCGTTAAAGATCGTCTGGTTTAGAGTCCTGGACTTTTGTTTAACTTGGTTCGTGTTTTCGTTTAATTTCCGGGTTATTAAAGAGATTAGTGGAAATTTGAATCATGTGTATGGAGGCTTTTATAAATGGACGCACACGAAAACACACACATGTACACACACACACGGGCCAAAACGCACACACACACACACACACACACAGACACACACACACACACACACACACACACACACACACACACACACACACACACACACACACACACACACACACATTCAAACGTAAACACATACCAGCATACATACAAACGTATAAAAAAAGAAACACACAAAAACAAACACGCAAACACACATACAAACGAACGCAAACAAACAAACACACATACAAAGTTGCGGAAACGAACGTGCGTCTGGGAGAGGTCCTTAATCTCACCCAAAGTCACTTCCATGTAGCTGTCCCGAGAAATGCACGCACGGAATCGGACGAGTCACGCCGCGCAGTTCGTTTGTCACTTTTTTTTTTACTCTTTCGTTTGTTGTTCCATTCTTTTTTTTTTTTTTTTTTTGTAAGTGAGGTTTGTGTTCCTTTTACTTTCTAATTCTTTCTTTGGTGTGAGACGATGATTCACTGTCTTTTTGTTTTCTGTTTATCTTTTCCTTTTCCTCTTCCTCTCCATCCCAATACTACAGCATTTTTTTCTTATAAATGTATATGTATTTTTCTTCTACATTTTCTATCTCTTAATCTGTCGAAATTCCCTTTCGTTTTCTATGAATAATTTCCTTTTCTTCACTGCTTTTTTTTTAATTTTTAAAATTTGCTTCGAAATCTCATATCTATTTTTTGCGACTCAGTTTTGTGATATATCATTTTCCTTTTTATCCACCATTCTTTTAATCTAATCGGTAAATCGGAAAGTGAAACCTATTCTTTTTCTGTCTTTTTATAAATATAGCGGTTGTAGTTGTAGTAGTAGTAGTAGTAGAAGTAGTAGAAGTGGTAATAGTAGTAGTAGTAGTAGTAGTAGTGGTAGTAGTAGTAGTAGTAGTAGTAGTAGTAGTAGTAGTAGTAGTAGTAGTAGTAGTAGTAGTAGTAGTAGTAGTAGTTGTAGTAGTAGTAGTCGTTGTTGTTGTTGTAGTAGTAGTAGTAGAAGTAGTAGAAGTGGTAATAGTAGTAGTAGTAGTAGAACTAGTAGAAGTAGTAATAGTGGTAGTAGTAGTAATAGTAGTAGTAGTAGTAATAGTAGTAGTAGTAATAGTAGTAGTCGTATTAGTAGTACTATTAGTGGTAGTAGTAGTAGTAGTAGTAGTAATAGGAATAGTAGTAGTAGTAGTAGTAGTAGTAGTAGTAGTAGTAATAGTAGTAATAGTAGTAGTCGTAGTAGTAGTACTATTAGTGGTTTCTAGTAGTAGTAGTAGTAGTAATAGTAGTAGTAGTAGCAGTGGTGGTGGTGCTAACAAGGTCTATGTAAGTAATCTATATAAGTACAGGTCTCGTCACTTCGGAGTTCTGCGCAGCTTTGGGTGAGAAGGCCTATGACGTCACTTGGAGAGAGCTGAGAGCAAGGGGGGGGGGGAATTAGAGCATGGTAGGGTGGAGAGAGATAATAGAAAACGGTAGTAAATGAGCAGATACTTAAGTAATTTTAGATGTCGGCACGTTGAACGATTTGCATATTGGACAGATTTTATAGGCGATGATTATCAGCGATTGTTTATAGGCCTATATCACATTCTACGTGAATTTAGTTTTGTAATTCTCATGTTGCAGCTTAGATATGGCATAAAAGAGACGTAAAATAAAGAAAGAAGACATGGTATATTTAAACTCCAAATGTTTTTGACGAATTTATTATAAAACAAATCATACAACAATAACAATAATAATTGTAATGATTATAATAATAACATTGGAAATCGGTGATGAATAACATCCTTAGGGCGATTCCAAATTCTGCAACCAACCACTGAACAATTACTGGGCATTGTGGCTTTGCGCGCGCCAGTCAGTCAAGCGAGCGAAAACGGGAGAGCGAGGGAGATCCTTCCGGCTCGACATCACATCCATGAATGACCACACGGTTAGCGTCGAACCCCCAGGCTCTGCCCCCAGATGACGTCATGCGCGAGACGGACGAATTTGAGTCGCTTAGTGACGAGACCTGTACTTATATAGACCTTGGGTGCTAATACTATAGATCCATGTAGAGGTAAAAGCTGAGATTGAGGCAGAAATAGAGGCAAGATCATCGTTGGGGTATTTATGTCCAATTACATTATCTCTTTTCCCACACAATTAATTTTGCAAAGTACTCTCAGAAAAAAAAAAACTGAAATACGTCAAATGGTAGACATAAGGCAAGGTCTATATTAATACTTATATAGACACTGGACATCCGGCACCTCCTTCTCTATATGTTACGCTGACCAATCAAAGATAACCTGATCCCGCAATTTGACCTCTTTCGTTCACAGTTTATATTGAACCGTGACCTTTAAAGGGAATTTGTAAATTAAGTACGAATGAGAATGAATCACGATGCAAGAAATTATGTTGACCGGTTTCCATTATATTTTCGTCAGTGAAATACATGATATTCATTAACATTCCCACCATTAACTTCTACATCTGTGGAAATGAAAGCGGTTCATAATATATATATATATATATATATATATATATATATATATATATATATATATATATATATATATGTGTGTGTGTGTGTGTAAGTATCCGTGTGTGTGTGTGTGTAAGTATCCGTGTGTGTTGTGTGTGTGTAAGTATCCGTGTGTGTGTGTGTGTGTAAGTATCCGTGTGTGTGTGTTGTGTAAGTATCGTGTGTGTGTGTGTGTGTGTGTGTGTGTGTTCCGTGTGTATGTGTATGTGTGTGCGTGTGCGTGCATGCGTTACTCAGTGTCTCTATAGGCTGCAAGAAGGCCGAAGGTAGTTTTGAGGGCCACTGAAAGCCAACCAAGAGCGTATGTCCTGTAACAACGCATACTCATCTAATCTCAGAAATAAATTATTGTATTCTCGTTTTCTTTGATCAATGTGATATATAGGTAAACTATTTTATATATCTGTATTCAGACTCATCTGAATCCATGGCGAGGATTGAAGAATGGACAATAAATTGGTATTGGTATTGATAATGATGTTGTTGGCAACACTAATGTACAATAATGGTAATATCAGTAATACCGATAAAAATCTTACTAATGATGATGATAATACTGATGATACATGCAGTAATGATCGAATGATACAAATAATGATGTGGAAAGTTCCTGTACCCTAATAGCAGACGAACTCATCACAGGGCAACACCCTAGTAGTAGTAGTAATAGTAGTAGCAGTAGTAGTAATAGTTTAATGTTGTAGTTATAGTTAGGTGTAGTAGTATAGGTGGTGGTATATAGTAGTAGTATAGTATATATAATATATATATATATATATATAATATATATATATATATATATATATATTATATATTATATATAATATAATATATATATATATATATATATATATATATATATATATATATATATATATAGAGAGAGAGAGAGAGAGAGAGAGAGAGAGAGAGAGAGAGAGAGAGAGAGAGAGAGAGAGAGAGATAGTATATTAGTAGAGAGTAGTTGTATCAGCAGCGGTAGCTGCAGCAGTAGTTATTCTTGTGTAATGGGCGTACGGAATATGAAGTTAGTGACCCAAAAATTCGTCTGGAAACCACCCTTTGTGTGCCTCATTTACTAGTCTTGAAGCATGTGTTGCAACTTCTGTATACCTCAGTTAAATTTTTTTATGTTGTCTCCTAATTCTTACATCAGTCATTATTCCTTGTTCTTCATCTGCATTAAGGGATGAGGTTGGTACTGCTTTTATCAAAATCGGTGAAGCAGTGTGGGTGAAGCCGTCAAATGCACGGTGCACGTCAAGGTGGGGGAGAGGCACAGTAACAGATATGCATCCCCAGAACAATGTATCAGTTGGAGGGATGCCACGGCATGTCTTGGGCCTCAGGAGAGTGGTGGATTCTTCGTCAGATGAGGAGGAGCCAGAGGAAGTTAGCGAAGATATAGTCTTGCGAGGGTCTCAGAGAGAAAGACGTAGACCGATGTGGATGAAGGATTATGTAGAGGGAGAGTCGAGTAAAGAGGATGAAGAGCTGCTTACTAATTCTTTGTAAAGCAGTAGTTGGTAGTGATCCTAAGATCAAGGGGGCGTGTGGTATGATTGAAAGGAAAGTGGTAGCCTTTGAATGCGGAGAGACTGGCAAGTGGCGATGGGCCGCAGAGCGGTCTGGCGTTGCATAGAAGGTGGTGACCTGGTTTGGGAGCTCCCGTTGATCGGTCGCAGGGTTTCGTGAGTTGATATAACAGAACGTTAGGTTGGTGAGAGAGTGAGTGCTGTTTTTCTTGTTCGCGGTAACGGTGTGCAATTGTGGTTTCTCGGCTTGTTTACGGGATTTAGTTAGGATTTGGTCTACACAACTTAACCATTCGTCTGATATGTTAGAAACCTCACAATCCAACAAAACCCTTTAATTTCCTAAGAATTGCAGAGCCCAGAATATATGTAACTTTTGGAAAATTGCGCCACAGGAGCCGGAATGTCTGTTTTGCCATAAGTATTGTAAGGTCCCAGGATGTGCTGACCACCTTGCCCTCCCACTTCTCAACTAATGCCCCATCTTCTCCAACGGAATACTCGTAGGACTTGAAGATTGGAAAGGAGAAAAACACACGCGGAATTACCACTCCCCAGATCTTTTTCAGGTGTGGTGAAGGCAATTCCACGCCTGCCAGAGTTGCTAGGTCTTCCATGTATTGGAATTGGTCATTCTGCAGGATGTGGTACTGGCTTTCTTTCCATCCCTGGTTCTTCCTCTCTTCAGCATAGGCTTCAATCTCTGATTTCATTTCAGCTGTCCTTGGTAGAGGAGTTTTCCCTGTTAACGTTGCGAGGAAGTATTGTACCTATGAAAAGAAATATGTATATATATAGTACATATATTGTATACATATAGTTCCCATTACAATTTCCAGTTTTACATAATATAATATAAATATATCTGAAGAGAATAATTCTTCGTGCCTTTGAATATATTCCTACCTGGTAGTTAAAGAGTGGGAAGGCAATGATACGAGATGGGAGTCCTATAAACCCCATTGTGGGAAAGGAAGCATTGATGATTTGCTTGTACAATGGCTTCACATAATCATTCTCAAAAGTGATGTCACATTTATCCTCAAGAAATGGGAAGGTATATTTATAGCCTGAAATGGGAAAAAAAACAGATATATGCTTATAAGTATGCATTTTGGATTATATGTTATAAGAATATCTTCTGTATTCTTCAACACAATTCTATTTTCAAGAATAAAATTAATGCATAGAATTATAGTCAACACATTACCAGTGCAGTATAGTAAGGCATCTGCTTCTTGGAAACTACCATCTTTAAGATAAAACCCATTTTCCACAGCTTTCACTATGCCTGAACCTTGTTTGACATTTGGAGGGAACTCAGAAGGGAAGGGAACTGGGAGGTTGTGAGAAAGAAGTACCTAGAATAAAAAAAAAAATAATAATAATAATAAAATGAGAAAGTCATGGAATCCTTCTCCATACTGATAAGTTTTTCTTAACTGGAAAACAAAATTCAGCTGTATTACGAAAAGCCTAATTCTCACCTCCTTTGCAACAGTAGATACTTCCATTAATATATCCAGCCCAGAGGCCCCAGCACCAAGGATTATAACTTTAGAATCTGTGTATGGTGACGGTTCACGATAGTCATGGCTGTGAACCTGTTGACCCTTGAAATCCTCAATCCCTTCAATATGTGGCTTTTGAGGCGTGGAGAAGTGCCTGTGGATATTTCACATTACCTAGGTTTACTGCTATTTTAGAGACTACCATTTCACTCAATAACATAATTAGGAATTGAGAAAAATGGATACCAGCAGTATATAATATGCAAAGAAATGACTCACCATTGAGAAAAAAAGTTCATTATTAAGATATAATCCTAATATCATTTTACCATAGAGTGACTGCTCTAGCATGATTTCAAATGATGTAGCTGTTTTAAAATGGCATTCTGGTATGTGATGAAAAAATACTCTGGAATATATACCCATTACATATAAGCAGGGCATCACATGTGACAGTGCTGACTACACCCGTTGACAGATCTTTCACTGTAACAGCCCAGGACGGAGGCCCTTCGTCACTCTCCACTACAGCCACATTCTCTACATGGTGGCCAAGCTATAACACAAATAATTATGATTAAAATGTTATTTCTTGAAGGAGTAAAATGTTAAATATGCATGTCCATTAGATTTAAGATATTCAGTGTTGATGTTAGAAAATCAAACAAACTTTCTGAAAATAGTAAATAGTATATGCGGTCTAATTTTCACATACTGGTTTTATTTCTATAAAATCAGTAAATAAGAAAATCAAAATAAAAAGTACTAAGCAATTTACTCAAAATATTCTTACTTTAATATATGGATGAAGCTTGAAATGATCAGCATAATCTTCCAGGTATTTGAGAACGGCTGTGTGATGTGCAAAGGATTCTACCGTACTTGGAAATTCAAAATCTGGGAATTTCATGATCAATTTTGGCAAATTTGTCCTGAAGATGTAAAGAAAAGAAAATCCTCTTAATTGCATTGGACATATAATCAACACAGACTTACAAATATCAATTCATTACAAAAAACACCAAAAAAATACACAATCTTATGTGGACAAATACTAAACACAACATACCAATACAAGGGTAACCTACCTCAGACTCTCATACATGCTCGAGTGTACAGGAAAGCCTCTGCTGTCTGTCCCAACCTCTTTGGAGACCCTCCACGCACCCCCTATCTGTGACGACTGTTCCCATACGATTGGGGTTAGCTCCTCTGAGGCCAGGATGTGCCGAGTAGCACAGAGACCTGATGCTCCGGCTCCGATGACTCCTACCACCTTCATGATTCTGCAGAATGAATAGTAGAGGAGTATATAACATTAATAGTAAGAGGAGTATGATAACATTAATAGTAAGAGGAGTATGATAACATTAATAGTAAGAGGAGTATGATAACATTAATAGTAAGAGGAGTATGATAACATTAATAATAGTAAAGTAGGAGTATGATAACATTAATAGTAAGGAGTATGATAACATTAATAGTAAGAGGAGTATGATAACATTAATAGTAATGAT